TGCCTCAGATTCCCTGGCCAGCTTAACTCTGATCTGCGGAAACTTGCTGTGAATCTCATTCCTTTCCCCCGTCTTCACTTTTTCATGGTTGGGTTTGCTCCACTTACCTCACGTGGTTCACAACAATACCGAGCTTTATCTGTCCCTGAGCTTACTCAGCAAATGTGGGATGCAAAGAACATGATGTGTGCTGCTGACCCTAGGCATGGCCGCTATTTGACAGCATCAGCTATGTTTAGGGGGAAGATGAGCACCAAGGAAGTTGATGAGCAGATGCTTAACGTGCAGAACAAAAATTCATCATACTTTGTTGAGTGGATCCCCAACAATGTCAAATCAACTGTCTGTGATATTCCACCAACTGGTCTGAAGATGGCATCAACTTTCATTGGAAACTCAACATCAATTCAAGAGATGTTCCGTCGTGTCAGTGAGCAATTCACAGCCATGTTTAGGAGGAAGGCTTTCTTGCACTGGTACACTGGGGAAGGAATGGATGAGATGGAGTTCACTGAGGCAGAGAGTAACATGAATGATCTGGTCTCAGAGTACCAGCAGTACCAAGATGCAGTAGCAGATGAGGATGAAGGATATGAGGATGAAGAGGAAGCATATCATGAATAGTGTGCTGATGCCTGGAAATCTTATCTTATATTTTAAGCAATAGTTCCTTTCAACTGTGGATGTAACCTCAACTACCATACCCATAGGAGGAGATTGAACTTTAGTAGTGAAGAGAAAGCGACTAACCTGTATTTTTGTTGAACTTGTCTCACTATCCTTTAATTGCAAATTGAATATTTTGTTGCTTATGCTAAGATGTCTGTGATTGGTTGATGATAATGCATGTTGTACTTGGTATATACTTCTAATACCTACATAATGTCCAGTAGAATGTTTGAGCTTATGATTATCACGGTTATATACATAAACGTAAGATGTTAGACACAGATACAATTGCTTTTATCTTGTCATATAACTTTCGTGTGTCAATTGATCTTGTTATTTGACTTCTAGTTTGCCAATAGGCATTCGTTAAGGTTTACCAACTTTTAGTATTTACTTTTAGCTTAACTAGAAAATAGATTAAATATAATGAATCATCTAAAAGTTGAATATTTTGCTCGAGCGTATCGAATAGAAAATGAGATTCCAGTTTGCAACGTACCTTAGTGCATCTGGAATTAAAAGAAAGACACATGGCAATTGGAAGATCCGCTGAATTGTCATCGAAACAACGGAAGAAAACAAATGAAATTCACCTGTGTAAAAATGGATTAATTATAATGAATCATTTAAGTACTGAATATTTGAATTGAGCAAAACAATTACGAATTATTTTATACCGTCGTTTGAGATTGTCGTTGATTGAATGGACCGAGTAACTTCGGTTTTTAAGTCAATCTTTTGTGTGTATAATACAAATATTTCTTCAAGAAAATAGAAAAATGAGATTCCAGTATACAACTTCACTGAGTGAATTTTGGAAAATAAAAGAAAGACACATGGCAATTGGTATTTCCGCAAAATTGTCCTCATTGAAATAAGGGAAGAAAACAAATCCAAAACACCATTCTGCAGGCTTTATATTTAAACAAGAAAAGGTCTCCATTCGGCTGACTATGCAAAGACAAATCACTTCCACACTGCCAAATTCCAAACATAACAACAATTTAAATTAACCAAAAATAATAATGAATCTAATCTTTATACACTGATCAAATTACGTAAAGAAAAATTAAGATAAAATTATGTAAAAGCCAATTTCATCGTAGCTTCAAAATATGTAAATTTTATTTCAAAATTTTTAAAGATTCTATGTCTGAATTCGCGATCAAAATTAAGAATTTTAACTCTCAAAATCCGAAAGTATCACATAAATTGGGAAGAAAAGAGTATTCTTTCACGAAACAAGCATTACCGGTTGGATAGAAAGTAAATACCAATTTGTAACACGAAGTAAATATGTAAAAGTGCGACAAATCATAGACCCAACCCACTTACAAACTGAATTATGACAATTAAGGGACACTATTTACACAAAATCCAATGCAAAGGCACTAGCAATGTACTATAACCGTTACTGGTAATTTAAAAATTATTCGCTCTATCAGTATGTATAAATTATATCCAAAACGAATTCCACAATGATTGAGTGGCATTTCTTATTGGACTCATCTGAATTCTGCCTATATAAACACCCATTTCTCTTCTATTTCTAATCATCAGCATATTCTCCTATTGCATTTTGTACTTCCCCTAAGAAGAAAGCCTTTAATTCTTTACCAAATATGGAGCTCATTATCTTCCTTGTTTTCTCATTTCTCATCCATGGAGCTCTTGGTAATGGTATGTATTCTTCTTTTATATATTGTTGATAAAATAATCTATATATCAATCTTAATAGGAATACATCTCCATCTTCATGTACAGTCAAACCTCTTATAACAACCTATTTGTTCCGATTTTTTTTATTTGCTACAGTGAAATGCTATTATTATAATATAACATAAAAATGGTTCCAAAGAAAACTTGGCCATTATACTGAAATGTTATTATAGAAATATTTGTTATAGAAAAGTCTAACTCTCTCTCTCTATATCAAATAAAAGAAGGAGGATCATGAGATTAAATCTCCATCTAGTGCTTGGTAGGTTAGGTAGTTGTACAATATATACAGAGGCGGATTTAGAATTTAAACTCTATGGGTTCAACCTTTAAGGTTCTTACTACTGAACTCATTATATCCTTAAAGTTATGGATTCATATCAATAATTTATTACGATTTTAGTGATTTTTTGCATATAAATTTGTACTCCACGTCGAAAATTATGGGTTCAATTGAACCCGGTGTTATAGGTCTAATACCAGTGGCGGAGCCAGAAATTTATCCAAGGGTGTTCAAACTTGAAAGAAGTGAAAAAAATTCTCCAACAAAGGGTGTTCAATATATGTCATATACCTCTAAAATTTAATATTTTACCTATATACGTAGTGTAATTTTTCGACGAAGGGTGTTCAATTGACCACCTTTATGAAAATGTAGCTTCGCCCATGCTACATACACCCATATATATATATATATATATATATATATATATATATATTGTGTGTGTGTGTACAAAATTTGTATCTGTATTTCCTAATATTATTTGAAAAATGTAGGAGAAATTGTATGTGAAGATTTGTCAGTAGGAAAGTGTGCCTACTCAGTTGCTTCCTCAGGGAAAAGATGCACTTTGGAGACTTATGAATCAAGTGAGGGAACAACAGGATATCAATGCAAGACCTCAGAGGTAGTAGTGGCTATTAATGGCATAGCAAATTGGATTGAAAGTGATGAGTGCATAAGTGCTTGTGGAGCTAATAGAGACTCTGTTGGCATTTCTTCTGATTCTCTTCTTGAATCAAGTTTTACCTCTAAGTTTTGCTCCCAACAATGTTACCAAAAGTGCCCAAACATTGTTGATCTTTACTACAACTTGGCTTTGGGAGAAGGTATTCCATTTCTTAACTTTCAAAGTCTTTAACTTCTATGTTGTTTTAGAAGGTTTACACTATCCGATCACCTAAAAGATAATAACAGTCTTTTCTCGCTCCTCAAGAAAGATGACTAGAAACTTCCCATTAGGAAAGACTTCTTCCTTTAAGGTTGTGTTGTTACAAACCAGACTGTTCTAATAGGGGCAGGGGAGACAAATAACTAATCTAATAGCACAATACAACTATGATCGGGCAATAGTGCAAATAAGATCACACTGAATGTGTGGAGGATATGGTAATCGTCGATAACAAGTGAGATTAGTAACCTACCAGAATAAAGCAGGTAATTTGTTCCGGCATGTTAAAATATACCGATAGTGTAAAGGTTTTTTGAACAGTCATCTAAGTTTAACTTTTAAATATTGACAGCGTTAAAGAACTTTTACACTATATGGTTACCAGATAACTACTAGAAACTTGCTACAAGCGGTTAAAGTATGGACTAAAACCTTTAATTTTTAGCAAACTTTGGTAATTAAGCTATACATTTCCTTCTTGTTTAAGTAACAAAAAACATTGCCCCGAGTTACAAACGTTATTTTAACATTAAATTGTCTTATGGCTCCGAGGATACTAACTTATAATAGATGCTTACAATTCAACCTGCAACGTAATTGAGTTTGAATATCTTGATTATTGTCAATTGGCTATTTATGTAAAGATCCCTGTAATATTTTGTGCTTTGTGGCAGGGGTATATTTGCCAGCATTTTGTAACGGGAAAAATTTAAACGGACGCCGTGAAATGAGCCAAATCCAAAGTTCAGGTGCAGCGTTGGCACCAGCCTCGGACGGGTATGGCCGTCAATTGACTGAAGGACCCGCCGCCAGTACTGGATACAGCGGCGAATATGGCCGTCAGTTGAGTGAAGGCCCTGCTGCAAGTCCTGCCATCACATTCGATGATATGGAGGCTGCTGCCCCATGGTGATTCTGAAGTAATGTACCATTTCTGATCATGAAGCTTCTCCAGTATAATGTGGCCATGTTACTAAGGAGTTCATGTTGCTCTGAATTTTCCTTATTGTTGTTTGCTTTTACTTGCTAAATAATCTAGAAATATTTGGGGATTATTTTACTTTTGTTGTCATATCATCTACTTATGTATGAACTTTTATTATTATTAATCTGATCCATTTTCACTTTTTTTTTTCCTTTTCCTTATTAATGAATGGAAGTTATGCATGAAGTGATACAAACAATGTCTCGATAAATCTAGCTATTAAAAAGAACGTAGAAATAGATGAAGATTGATACAGGAAATAGAGTAGCCTTCTCATCATATTAAAGGAGCATAGCGCTGTATGAGGCTCATATAGTAGAATAAGTAAAAGAAAACTTAAGGTCACACAATAGTACTCTTGCAAGAAGTAGGATGTGCTAAGGATCAACACCTTTCACGCAACCTTCTTGCCCCTTGTCTCAAACTTAATGAAAACCGTAATCGATCATCAAAATTTCTTTTAAAATTAAATTTTGAGTTAATATATAAAAACACACACTAAAGTATAATTGCTTTGCGAGTTTCATGTCTAAATTATGTGGTGCTTTTATTATTCCCTGAACTATTACTTTTCAAGGTTAAAAATTGTACTTCTTAGTTTTTAGGGGGTTATTAACCTTGAAAAATTAGAGTTTGGGGGGGGGGGGGGGGGGGGATAGAAGCATATTTAGGTATGAACTCTCAAAGAGTTCAAGGGGTCTTTTATATAATTCAAAATATGGAAGAAACTGTAGGAACTCTGAGTAATGTTTCGGGCCTTACGTTTCGCCTTATGTTAAAGTAAAACGTCTTGTTTCACGCCCCTTTCAAAACGCGGAATGTGATATTGTGGAACTTAACTCCCAGGCTATCTGGCGGATTTGGCAACGAAGCATATTAAAAATATAAATGACGTATCTCTATGCAACTTGACACCAACTGTGTATACACAAGAAGTTGCATTTGTCTAAATACGTATTAATCCCATATCCTATATATTTTCCATGACATCATCACTACTTAATTACATGACATTGGAATGAAATTTACATGATTAGTGTTGTTTTATCTATTAACATGTTAATTAATAATACTATTGATATAAGTTTACCAATTAGTACATATTATAAAAATTACCTTATAAGTAATAATTATGTAGAAAGAAAATTTGCACTAGTTAAACTCTCGTTCAATATTTTCTTTCGTAAACAACAAACCCAATATAATCTCATAAGTAGGGTCTGTACGCTGACCTTGCTCTACTTTGAAGGTAGAGAGATTGTTTCCAGTAGACTTCCGGCTCAAAGAAAAATGAAAAA